GTGGTTCGCTATTTTGGGTAAATCAGTCTTTTCTCAACAATGGATTTTTTGTCAAATATGACAATCCCTGTCATTGCCCTAGGTATAGCTCGTGAACCCGTTTTACAATAAGAAAAAACGGGTGTCCCACATTTTTTTTTCCCAATTTTTCACTTATTTTTACAATTTTTTCCAATTTTTTCAACTTTTTTGGATCTTGTTTTTTTTTTTGATTAAAAAAAAATGTAATTTAAAGGTTTTAGACATCAATTTTGATTAATTTATTTAAATTAAATAAAATTTAATTAAACCTCCAATCGCTTTAATTAAATTTTGATTCGATTTATTCAAATGTATTATTGATTTATTAAATTCTGATTCAACTATATTCTTAGTTGATTTAATCAACTTTCGATTTAATTCAATTAAATTACCAATTATTGATTTACTTAAATTTGCATTTAATTAAACTTCCAGTTGCTGTTATTAAATTTTGATTTAATTATTTAAATTTCCTATTTATTTAATTAAATTTTGATTGAATTAAGTTCTCAGTTGATTGAATCAATTTTCGATTTATATATTTTAATTAAATTACCATTTGATTTAAACTTTCATTTAATTAAACTTCCACTCATTGTAGTTGAATTTCAATTAAATTTTGATTTGATTTAGGTATTTAAATTTCCAATTCAATTGAATTTCGATTTACATAATTTAATTTCCAATTGATTTTATTCAATTTTTATTTAATTAAATTTCTAGTTGATTTTATTAAATTTTGATTAGATTTATTTAAATTTCCAATTGATTTAATTAAATTTTAATTCAACTAAATTCCTAGTTCATTCTAATCAAATTTCGATTTAATTTCTAACTGAATCACTTAAATTTTTATTTAATTAAATTTCCAATCGATTCGATTTAATTAAATTTTGATTCGATTTGGTAATTGAATTCCCAATTGATTTTATTCAATTTTTTTAAAATTAAATTTCTATGTAGTTGATTTCATTATATATTGATTCGATATATTTATATATTATCCTGTTCACAATCCGATGTCCACAGGTGCAGGTAAATTTATCACCTTTCCCTATCAAATAGCATTGAAAGGTGATTTCACCTGTACCTACCTGTGGACATCGGATTGTGAACGGATAATATTTCCCATTGATTCAATTTAATTTTGATTTAATTAAATTTCCAATACTTGTTTTACTTAAATTTTCATTTGAATAAATTTCAAGTTGGTTTAATTAAATTTTGATCGATCTATTTAAATTGCCAATTGGTTTAATTTAATTTTGATTTAATTAAGTTTCCAGTTGATTAAATTAAATTTTGGTTTAATTTAATTGAATTTCCAATTTTTGTACTTAAATTTCTAGTCGATTTAATTAAATTTTGATTCGAATACAAAATTAACAAAATTTACAAAATTGAAAAAAAATTCAAAATTTATAAAATTTACAAAATTAATAAAAATCACCAAATTGAAAAAAATTAACAAAATAAGAAAAAAATTCACAGAATTAGGAAAAAGAATTTACAAATATTTAAAATTAAAAAAAATTCACAAAATTTACAAAATTGATAAAAAAAATTCACAAAATTAAAAAAAAAAAATACAAAATGAAAAAAAATTCATCAAATTTACAAAATTAACATAATTCACAAAAATCACAAAATTGGAAAATGTTACAAAATTAGAAAAAATTCATAAAGTTTTTAAAATTGAGAAAAATTTCCAAAATTTATAAAATTGGAAAAAAAAATCACAAGGTTAAATTTTTTTAATCAAATTCAAAAAAATTTTAAAATTCACAAAATTTCAAAATATCACGAGATTCACAATATTAAGGAAAATTTACAAAACTTGCAAAATTCACAAAATTTATAAAATTTACATAATTTACAAAACGGAAAAAAAAAAATTCAAAGGTTGAAAAAAATCCACAAAATTAAAAAAATAATATTGGAAAAAATTCACAAAACTAAAAAAATAAAATTAAAAAAATCCATAAAATTGAAAAAAATTCCAAAATTTACAAAATTCACAAAAATAAAAAATCATAAAATTTAAAAAAAATTACAAAATAAGAAAAAATTTACAAAATTTTTAAAATAAAGAAAAATTCACAAAATTTAAAAAAATATCAAAATAATTCACAAAATTGAAAAAAAGTTACATACATACTTTTCAAAATTAAATTAAATTCACAAAATTTAAAAAATGTTGAAATTATTTTCAAAACTCACGAAATTAAAAATCCGAAAGTTGAAAAAAATTCATAAAATTTACAAAATTTATGAAATTACAAAATTTATGAAATTTACAAAATTTAAAAAGTTTACAAAATTTAAAAAGTTTACAAAATACACAAAATTCGAAAAATTTAGAAAAGTTTACAAAGTTCAAAAAATATATTAAATTCAAAAAAAATTGAAAATTCACCAAAATCACAGAATTTACAAAATATACAAAATTTCACAAAATTACAATTTTCTTGAAATTTACGAGTTTACAATTACAATCTTGAGATTCAAAAAAATACAATTTTTGTATTTTCTTGGAATTCACAAGACTACAACCTTGAAATTCACAAAATTATAATTTTGACATTTTCTTAGAATTTACCAGATCACACAAATCACTAATTTACATTTTTGAAATTTTCTTAGAATTCACAAGATTAAAATCCCTAAATTCATAGAAATCATAGATTAACAATTTTTGAATTCCCAAAATTACAATTTTTGAATTCACAACATTATAATACAATTGAAATTCACAAAATTACAATTTCCTAATTGTGTGAAATGGAAGATTGTAATCTTGTGAATTCCAAAAAAGAAAAAACAGAATTGTAGTTTTTTAAAAATCTAAAGATTATCAGCTGTATGCATTATCCTCTTTCAACTTAAAAGCGCTTTTTAAAACTGGTCACTTTTAAAAATGTGTATTCTAGGCAATTCAAGTTTTTAAAGGTACCAGTTTTAAAAAGCGCTTTTAAGGTAAAAGAGGATGTTGCATACAGCTGTATAACTTTGTGACTTTTAAAATTTAAATTTAATATGTACAGTCGTGAGCACAAAAAGTGGTTCGCTATTTTGGGTAAATCAGTCTTTTCTCAACAATGGATTTTTTGTCAAATATGACAATTTCTGTGATTGCCCTAGGTATAGCTCGTGAGCCCGTTTTACAATAAGAAAAAACGGGTGTCCCACATTTTTTTTTCCCAATTTTTCACTAATTTTTACAATTTTTTCCAATTTTTTCAACTTTTTTGGATCTTGTTTTTTTTTTTGATTAAAAAAAAATGTAATTTAAAGGTTTTAGACATCAATTTTGATTAATTTATTTAAATTAAATAAAATTTAATTAAACCTCCAATCGCTTTAATTAAATTTTGATTCGATTTATTCAAATGTATTATTGATTTATTAAATTCTGATTCAACTATATTCTTAGTTGATTTAATCAAATTTCGATTTAATTCAATTAAATTACCAATAATTATTGATTTACTTAAATTTGCATTTAATTAAACTTCCAGTTGCTGTTATTTAATATTGATTTAATTATTTAAATTTCCTATTTATTTAATTTAATTTTGATTGAATTAAGTTCTCAGTTGATTGAATCAATTTTCGATTTATATATTTTAATTAAATTACCATTTGATTTAAACTTTTATTTAATTAAACTTCCACTCATTGTAGTTGAATTTCAATTAAATTTTGATTTGATTTAGGTATTTAAATTTCCAATTCAATTGAATTTCGATTTACATAATTTAATTTCCAATTGATTTTATTCAATTTTTATTTAATTAAATTTCTAGTCGATTTTATTAAATTTTGATTAGATTTATTTAAATTTCCAATTGATTTAATTAAATTTTAATTCAACTAATTAAATTTCCAATCGCTTCGATTCAATTGAATTTTGATTCGATTTTGTAATTAAATTCCCAATTGATTTTATTCAGTTTTTATTTAATTAAATTTCTATGTAGTTGATTTCATTAAATTTTGATTCGATATATAGTTATATTTCTCATTGATTCAATTTAATTTTGATTTAATTAAATTTTCAATAATTGTTTTACTTAAATTTTCATTTGAATAAATTTCTAGTTGGTTTAATTAAATTTTGATCGATCTATTTAAATTGCCAATTAGTTTGATTTAATTAAGTTTCCAGTTGAATAAATTAAATTTTGGTTTAATTTAATTTAATTTCCAATTGTACTTAAATTTCTAGTCGATTTACTTAAATTTTGATTTTATTTATCTAATTTATTCTGGATTTTGTATTAGAATGGTTCTAGAGTAAACCACGCGGAACTGTTTGCGCACTGCTAGTGTATTTATAACTGTTCTGGTGATAATTTGATTGCTCTTGAATCACCCGAAAACAGCTCTGAACACAATTATTTATTTTTTTTGAACAGTTCCAAAATTGTTTTCAACTGCATCTACTTAAGATTACTCTAGAACAGTCACATTTCGCCCTGTATATCCCATTGTGGATTGTGGGGGCACATGCTTATAAGCACCAACGTTTTCACAAAAGCAATCTTCACTGTTAACGGCGAGGGGTAGGTGGGTGTAAAAATGTTGTAATGTAATTGGAAAAATACTTTTAATCTCAATTACCTTGCAATCACGGTCAATTACATTTAATTAAACTCAATTACTTTCAATTACAATTTAATTACATACAATTATACCCAATCAATTATGTTCAAATACATTAAATTACAAACAAATACATTCAATTACATACAAATACCTTCATTTACAAAAAAAATACATGTAATTGAATGTATTTATAATTAGGTGTACAAATTCTATCGAGTGACCTACCCCTCGGTAGCTTCAATAGTTGTGGGAGAATTACGCCTTAAAGTTGAAAAGTAAGATTAATTATAAGAACCCAATACAAGAGGTGAAAGGGAATGATCAGAAATCAGTAAAATCAAAAAAAAAATCCTCAAAGCAATCAATTTCAGATTCGGAAACCATTTACGAAGTTCCAGCAATAGAAGAAGGCAAAAGAGTTGAATGTATTGCCGCCTTAAATTGTCGCAAAAGTAAGTAGCAACAAACACACAACAATTTCAATAAACAAAACCAATAAATTCCAGGCAACAAAATGAATAACAAATTATTTATTTGCCAAATAATCGTCGCGTTTACTTGCCTAATGGTGAGCTGCATCAATGTGTATTTTTTGATGCAATTTAAGGTAAGTTGCGAGTCAAATTTGTTGCCCAATCCAAATATCGAGACACGGATAAAGGAACTTGAGGTATTATAATAATGTTTTAATTCTTAAATGGCCATTTTCTTCCAGGAGAATGGAAAATCTTTGAAGCAATACTTGAAACAGATGGAAAATAGTACAAAGCACTTGCTGGTAGTTTGATTTGATTTGTTTTAAACAATTTTTGAGGTTTTATTTTTAGGATATGGTTGAGCCGTTGCAAGCTTACGTTTGCTACAATTTCAACCTTACAAGGGCAGAAAGGAAGGTTCTAGGCTGTGTTACTGGATTATATAAATAGGTTTTACATTATTAAAATAATAGTCTAATAAGAAACTCTCATAGCTTAAACAATGATTAAAGTTTATCATCGCCTAATAATTTCAAATCAAAAAGGTATTATAGAAAAATAAATATTCAAATAGTCGTTATTTTTGTGTTTTAAATCAGTGGCGTATCAACCCAGCTCCGGGGCTGTGTGCCAACATTTTTGCGGGCTCATCACGACGTGATCTACGCGATTTTTTAAAACTATTAGTTTTGTCACAATCAGGATTTTCAGTGTCACAACTAGAGTTATCATCGTCACTATTATCACTTCGACGATCACTTAAATTCATATGATCGCTTGAAAATACATATCTTATATCTTGATTCTCTGTTACTTGCCGTCGTGCATTTTCTGAGTCAGCTTCATTACAATTAATATTTATTAGAATACCTTTCTGTGAAGAGCTTTCAATGACTGTTTGTTCAAAATCAGAAACACTAACACAATCAGTAGATGAATCTGTCTCAGAAATTAGCTCAACAGGAGAACTATAATCTACTACAGTGCTATCAACATTTGTAGGCTCATCATTAAAATCAGATATTTCATACAATAAATCATCAAACATATCATTAAAAATTTGCACAGGTAAATTAGTCTTATTTATAAACTTTCTGTTTCTTCTTAATTCTTTTCCTTTTTCATCTTTAATAAGATAAGATCTATCATTGTATTTGCTTATTATTTTTCCTTTATTCCAAGAATTATTTTTTTGAAATAAAACACTGTCATCTTTTTGCAAAGGTGGCAAATCTTTTGCAGTTTTGTTATAATTCTTTTGAACTGTTTCTAAATGTTGCTTGAGTTTTAATGTCACCTCTTTTTGATCAATAATTCTTGGAAGAAGGTTATCTAAAGTTATAGGAAGTTTTGTCTTCACCAGGCGGTTTAAAAGCAATTGTGCGGGAGCAAATCCTATACTGGGCAGAGGAGTATTTCGATATTCTAATAAAAAGTATGAAAGTTCATCTAAATGTTTCATTTTTTTGAGCATGTTTTTAGAAATATCAACATATTTCTCTGCGAAGCCATTAGACTGGTGATAATGAGGACTAGAAAATTGCAGATCAAAGTTCCAAGATTTAGCAAAATTCTTGAATTCTATACTATTATAAGGAACATTATCAGAATAAAAAATGTCAGGGACACCAAATTTAGAGAACAAATCCTTACAATGCTTAATCACAGTTGCAGCTGTCTTATTCTGTGTAGGAAAAACTTCTAGCCAATGGGAAAAACTATCAACAATTAATAAGTAGCTTTTAGATAGATATTCAAAAAAGTCAGAATATAATATTTGCCAGGGCCTTTCTGGTAGCTTATGGGCTATAAGAGTCTCTTTTTGGTTAGCTGGCTTATTAAGCTGACAAATTTCACAATTGCTCACAAAGGTTTCAATTTCTTTTGACATGTTGGGTCATATCATGATTTCACGTGCCCGTAGTTTACATTTTTGTATGCCAAAGTGAGCTGAATGTATTAACTTGAGCATATTATTTCTGAGTTCAACAGGAACCACGATTTTTTGATTGTAGAACAGCAAATTATCAGAGAGATAAATATTGTTTCTCAAGTTATAGTAGTATTTCAATTCTGAAGTCAATTTTTTATCATTTTTTGGCCATTCATTTAAACAAAATTTTTTAACTTGTGATAAAATCAAATCATTGTTAAATGCATTCTGAAAAACAATTTTTTTTTCTGTTGACATTGGTACAGTCAAAGAAAGTGAATGAATAATATATTCCAACTCTTCATCTAAAGGAATTTCAGTTTTTATGTAAGACCTACTCAATGCATCTGCCACATACATATTAGACCCAGGTAAATATTCAATTTTGATATTATATTTTAACAATTTTAATAACATTCTTTGTAGTCTAGCACTAACATCATCAAGATTTTTCTTAAAAATTGAAATTAATGGCTTATGGTCAGTTTTAACTAAAACTTCTCGACCATATATCCAATAATGAAATTTCTCACATGAAAAAACAATACTCAAAAGCTCCTTTTCAATTTGAGCATATTTTACCTCGGCACTATTAAGAGATCTTGACGCAAAAGCTATTGGATACTTATCTTGCATCATACAGGATTCTAATCCTTTACCAGACGCATCAGTTTGTATTTCGATTGGTTTATTTTGATCAAATATTTTCAAAATCGGTTTATTTGTGATTAAAGTCTTTAATGTGTCAAGTTCTTGTTGATGAAACTCTAACCATTCAAAATTGATATCATTTCTAGTAAGATTTCGCATGTTATAAGTTAATTGTGAAAGATTCGGGATAAATTTAGAAAAAAATTTGAAAAGACCAAGTATTCGTAATAAATCTTTTTTGTTTGAAGGATTTTCGATAGATAAAACTGCTTGAATATTTTTTTGAGACGGTTGTATTCCATTTTTTGAAATGATTTGACCTAAAAAATTGACTTCTTTCATTTTGTATTGCAATTTATCAAAATTAAATTTAATGTTAAATTTAAGGGCTTTTTCAAGTACTTTTTTGAATGCCAAATCGTGTTCATTATCATCAAATCCGGAAATAATTAAATCATGAAAATATATATTCACATTTGGAATATCACCAAAAATTCCCATGTTTTTTCTTTGAAAAATTTCTGGTATACTACTTAAGCCAAACGGAACTCTATGAAATTTGTATCTTCCAAATGGGGTGTTAAACGTACATAAATCTGAACTTTTTTCTAATAATTGTATCTGCCAAAATCCATCCTTCATGTCTATTACTGAAAAAATTGTTTTTCCTGCTAACTTAGCTAAAATATCGTCACATTTAGGAATAATATAATGTTCTCGACATATATATTTGTTTAGTGGTTTAGGAGCCAAACATAAACGAAGTGAACCATTAGGCTTTTCGACAATCATCAATGAGTTCACCCAGTCAGTTGGATAGTCAACTTTAGAAATTATTCTTTTCTTTTCGACTTCATCTAATGCTGATTTTAATCTGTCATGTAAAGCCAATGGGACTTTCCTCTGTGTTTGGATCACTGGTATTGCAACATCCTTTAATTTAATTTCTACCACTCCAGGCATACACCCAAGACCTTCGAAAATATCTTTGAAATTTTTATATATTTCTTCTCTAGATTTGGGTAATGGTTTAGAATCATTTAGCATCTTAGTTTGAACTAAATTTATACGTGATATCATATTAAAATGTAAACAATCACCTAACCCAGGTAGAGGCTCTGAATCTAAATCAACAATCAAAAATTTTACATTTTTAAACTGATTTTTATACATGCATTTGAGTGTGATGTATCCTAACGGTTTAGATTTGAAATTGTCATAAGAAATAATTGTCATGGTTGTTGGAATAATTTTAGATTTATCAATATTTAACAGTAGCGGCTCGTCAGAGGAGGCAGGGGAGGCTAAGCCTCCCCCCAAAAATTGAAAATTCAATCTCAGTTTCTTATTCCGGATTTCTAATTAAAATAATACTTCACAAATTTCATTTTCCAAATTTCGATATTTTAATGTAAGTAATTTAGAAAAATCTGACAACATTATTTCAATCAATCTCGCGCTTCCACGACAAAAATCTGTGAATCTAAGATACTCAGTGATACGAGCCCGAAGGGCCGGAGTTATATGCGAGCCTGAAGGGATAGAGTTATTTTAATCACGGGGCCCAGTCAATAATTCTATTGGTCAGTGGATAATTTCGAGCCAATCAAAAATCGGGGATATTCAAAATGTGATTTTTAGTCGATATTCCGAGTTTCAGTTCTCTCCGATGTACCGGAAAAAAGTTAGCCTCCCATCTTTCTTGATTTTGATTTTTTTTTTTCGAATTTTCAAAAAAAAAATAACATTACATAGAGGAGAAAAAAAAATACCATTAGATAGAGGAGCAAAAAGAACGTTGAAAAGCTTATGGGACCCTTTTTGGCCAGATAAAAATTTCGGAGTTCTGACACGACGTTAGTTTTTCGCTTATAGTTCCGCTATTCCTCAACCGATCGTTTCGACATTTCAAAATTCAATATACCTATATCAACATTTCCTGATGAAATAATTATTTATGTATCAAGGGAATTATGAGGGTGTTAATACCCCAGGGCAACGTTTCATAAAGTTGGAAAAAAAAATGTGACACGAATTTTGATTATTCCCAGCGCTTGACTGAGCTTATGTATTTTTTGTATTTGGCCAATAAAAAGCATAGACTAGAAGAGTAGGACAAAGAAAATGACATAAGAAATTCAATAGTTATGGAAAAGACAGAGATACAGTGGAATAAGTCAAATAGTTGCCAAATTTTAATTATTCTCGACGCTCGAGTGGCCAAGAACTTGAAATAATAGAGAGAGCAATATAAAAAATTTAATAACTTAAAAAGAGACGGAAATATAAAGAGACTAAAAATGTCACACGAATTTTGATTATTCCCGGCGCTTGAGTGGTCAAAAACTTTTGGAATAATATTAATATTAAAAAGACAGCAATATAGCAAATTCAATAGGTAAGAGAGAGATGAAAATAAAGTAGGAACAGAAAAAATATGACATGAATTTTAATTATTCCTAGCGTTTAATAGTTATTTACGCAACAAGTGTGTAAAGTGAACCTATTTTCACGAATGTGAATTTTGACTGTTTGTTTTTTTTCTTAGAATTTTAAAATTTCGCGTTGTAGGCTTGTGAGGCATGATGCTTGTCAAAAGCATCAAAATAAATGAAGTCCATATTATTTTACAGTGTTGCCACTGTTTTTTTTTTCTTGGAATTTTAAAATTTCGTGTTATAGGCTCGTGACGCTTGACTTTTGATTTTTTAATTGTCAAAAACGTCAAGACAAGAGAAGTTTATATTATTTTATTCTATCGTGAATGGTAAACTATCATTTAATCGACTCAAAACTCATTGTTAAAGTAACACTTTATTTGAAGTAGTGAAATCGAACAATTTTTACCCACTCATTTGTCAATTTTATCCACTCATACGTCAATTTTGCCCACTCATACGTCAATTTTACCCACTTGTTCAAATCTTTTATAATAATTATAGTGTTTTTGACAGAAATCTGTTAGGTCGCATGATT